CTATGGAAAATGAAGAGTCTCTCCCCCTACTGAATAATCTTCAGCCCCCCTGAAACCCATCTTCTCTACCTGGCTGACACTTCAACTTGAAGGTATCATCTGTAAGATTGATGGTATATAAATCTTTTCAGGTCATCTAAAAATTATTTCATTGGCATTTTGCTGTCCATGTTGTGCAGTGTCCATCTTAGTGACACAAATATAAATGTGGTGCTTCTATTCTATTCTATTCTATTCTACCAACCTGTCTGAAATAACAGGTAACTTCTTTGATAACCTGAAGACAGGCTGTGTCTGCTTTCTATGATTTACTTAAAGAAAATAAACTATTTCAGAGACTGACACAAATATATATCTGAAATACTTCAATAGTGTCTGTTGTTAGGACAGGAAACAACAACCATGTTTACGTCAACTGCAAAGATGAGACATCTTTCTTCATTACAACCTACTTGCAAACTGGCATAATTTAGGGACTTCCTCTTCCTCATCTAAAATAGAACAGGCAAAACCTTTCAATAGCCAGTTAAGTATTTTCAAAAGTAGTGAGCAAACATTTTATAGTTATTATATTATTTGTATATCTGAATATGCTTTTATGGGCCCATATCCTGCACCCCTTCTTCATGCGAATAGTTTCATTCATGCACCTAACCCCATCTCAGCCCTGTCAGTGGAGTTCATTGTTCATTTTTACTTCACAGACTACCGATTAAATGTGGTACTTTGCTGATACCAACGTGGAATTTAAGCTAAAACTGTTTGTTTCAAATGAACAAGATTTCGCCCACAGCCAAGCACATGCCAAAACTGTAAACTGCCTATTCATGTTGCTTTTCTATGGCAGGACTCCCACTGAAGAACCAGTTCTGCCACCCTGAAGTATAGCAGACCAAATCCATCCCTAGTGTAATTCAGTAGAGTTACACTTATGCTGAATTTGGCCAGGTGACTACTATCATAATATTCAGATAACCCTACTGAAATGAAACTATTCACAGAGTACAGTTCTGTCTAAATAAAGGTGACAGAAACTTGTGCTAAATAGTAATACTTGTAGATGGCACAGAATTTGAGAGCATGGTGAATAAAGATGACATATGTTGGCTAAAGATAGAATAAGCCAATTCTACAAGCAGTCTAGATTACAGGATGAACTAACTGGGTTTGCTTTAACAATGTGTACCTTGATACAGATAAATACAAGGTCATACTTCTAGGAATCATGTTGGCCTCAATTATACAGTGGGGTTTCCATGTATTTGAAACCAGAGACACAGAAAAGGACTTAGCACTATGGTAGGTAATCAACTAAACACAGCTCTCAGCATGGAATAGTGGCTAAGACTGAAAAGATAGTTCTTAGTTTATAAACAGAAAACCATAATGTAGAAGTAGGGAGATGTTACTGCCTTGCTGTAGTGTTAATGTAACCTTATTGGGGTACTGTGACCAGTTCTGATTTTTATATTCCAAATAGGGTTTTGACAGTTTTGAAAGGTTCAGTGAAGAGCTGTGATAATGATTCTGGATCTTGAGACCCTTTCTAACCTTTTTAAATATATTATTCAATTTATTTGGCAGAGCAAAGATAAGGTGAAGCATAGATCTAATCACCGCCTGTAAGTACCAATGTGGAAAAAAGTTTTCTGGTAGTAATGGGTCCTTTAGCAGGGTATAGTAGGTTTGTCATCATTTAAAATCTCAAAACTGATTGTCATAAGCAATAGCTCTATTGGAAGTCAAGGGCTTGATGCAGGAAGTTTCTGGTGGAATTCTATGACCTGTAGCATACATGCTGTCAGAATGCATTATCACCAAAAAAAACCTAAAAAACCTTTTGGTTTTTGTGTACTAGGGTTCTTACACAAATGAAATGACCATTTGGGGTTTTCACTAGGAAGTTTGTCTAAAGACAGGCTTCCTGAGGAAGATGAAAATTTACATCTTGAAATATAGTTCTGAGGTTGCCTAGAAGACAGCAAAGATGGATATGGTTCCTGTTGTTATCAAGTTCTTCCTTCACTTTGTTTAGACAAAGCACATGTAAGTCTTGCAGATAAATCAGCACATCTACAGATGATTGGGATTTTAACATGGGGGTGGCTTCCCAAACCATGGGGACAGACACCAGCATGTTCAAGGTCAGGCAGTAGTTTGCCCACTTTCTGATGTCAGAAGACAATGTTGCTGCTTTATTTCTTCTTCTAAAACTCTCTTCTTTTTTTAGTCTCAAGGAAGCAAACTGGGAAGTTTAGGCTGTGCCCCCAGATGCATGTATTTCTGTACAGTTTGTAAATGTTTCCAGTCTGATTTGTAATCTGAAACTGTACTTTATGCCAGGAGTTTGCCTTTGAAGGACTATAGAGGGCCATAATTATGGCTCCTGTAACTGGGTGGAAAGCAATGGAGTTAAACCAGGGACCCAGCAGATAGAATCTAGATGAATTTGTCCCTTTGTGCTCAGAATCCTCCACTGAACGGTACAGGCATTACAACTAAATGTCAACAGTGCAGTTTGCCTTTATATCTGGGTTTTATTCTTTTTGCTGTGTTTAGACAACTTTTTATCCATTTCTATATCCCATGTTAACCATTTCTTGTCAAAACTGCATTGTGTTATACAAATCTTTTGTTTCACGTTTAGGTTTAAATAATTGGGAATATGGATTAACTTCTTAATTTAGTAATCTTTGATTTGAAAAAGAGAGGCTTGAATGCTTCTTTCAATTATAAGTCTCATACCAGCTCCTTGCCATTTATGACAATCTTTTAACAAATGTGGATGCCTTTCTGAGCAGGATGCTGGCTTTTAATTGATAGACTGATTCTAATTTTCACCTTTTAAGCCACAAATATAAAAAAGACCTTGTCCCCAAACTCAAAAAATGATTTGTTGTTATGGTTAACAGTAGCCTTAATGTTGTTATATTTGTGAGAATTAAATGCATATAAAATTAATTTTAGAATTATAACATTTCAGTGAACACTGCCTTTGGGAGACAATGGTCTGATTTACCTTCCCCATCAATCTGAGAAACCAATTTTACAGGCTACAGATTCCTTTGCACCTGTATCTGTGACCTAGGAATGATTTCTAAAACATATGAACTGTAGCAATTTCTTGTGCTACAATGTTGACATTACTGTCTTTCTCTGAGTTACCTCAATGTGTTCTGTTAGTGAAATGGCATTGCCTAAACTAAACTAGAAAGTTTAGTAAAGGAGGCACAGAGAATCTGAGTTATTTTTCTCAACCCCTGGCTTTCTAGTGAAAAAAAATGAAAATTCTTTGGAATTCTTTTAAAATTTTGCTAGATAATTTTAATCTGATTCCTCTGATTTAATGTCTTTTAATTGCCTGTTCTTAAAAAGATTTAATTTAAACTAAATTTCTGGACCTTTCCCAAAATATTGTAAATACAGTCCCTGAGCTACAATAGCAATAATAATCATAGGTCTTGAAGCATTTACATTTTAAAGAATTCCCTCTGGGATTTTCAGATGTTCACTTTATGCTAAAAAATCAGCCTGCAAAATACGGTATTAAGCTGCCAAATACGCCTCTCTTAAAAAAAAAAAACAACTAATTAACTGTTCCTGTGCTGAAGTATACTTATTTTAGTAAGCCAAGTTTTCACAGTACAATTTAAACCCAATAGAAGGATGTTACTATTCCCGAGCCATGTAGTATTGCAAAGCATAGTTTTGTGTACCAGAAGGGTCAGTTTAGGAAGTTGGGTGAATATTTCATTAAGTATATCCTTTTTTCTTCAAAATAAGCAACTCGTTAAACACAGGAATTATTTTAGCCCTATGGAAAAAATATACTAAACTTGGACATTGGCTCTTGTATGTTTGTACATTTTAGGAAATTTATCTAATGTATATGAAACTGGATTTTGCTATTCCAGTAGTCTACTACTACTTCATTAATCTATTTGAATACAGAAGTAACCCATCAATAAAATGCTAGAGAATATTTGATGAGAGGCTTAGTAAAAAAGATATTCCAGACATGAAAAACTGTTAGAAATATCACTTTAAAATAAACTAATTAGCTTTTTAAATGAAATACAGCTTTCATTGTTAAGCTCTAGATATCTCGCCCCCAAACATTAGACGAAGTTGCATTGTTTACAAAAATTTATTAATACAAACTTTACACACTTATATAACAGTTATCAAAGTCCTAGTTATAGATATCATGTCTGTAATAATACTTTCTTTAAGTTATTTTAGTTGCACACAAAATAAGTTCTCCAAGACTAACATCTATCTAAATTAGCACTGTATCTCAGATCTGCTCAGGTTTAGTAAGGCTGTTGGCTTTTCTAAAAATTACACAAAGGATAATCTATGTGATCACTTTATAATGCTTGCAGCTAGCCACTGAACTCTAAATGATAGTTCATAAATAAAACGTCAAGAGAGCCCTATTTCATTATACCACAGCTGACACAAATACAGCAAACTCTGCCCAGGATCAAAGAACAAATAATTAAGACTAAAATGCAAGCTGATGTGTTGCAGCATTGTAGGGCCACTAAATAGCCATCTGTGAATTCGTGGCGATTTAAAAGGCGAAGAAAGGCACGTAAGCTGCAAACTGCATCCTGCGTCACCTTGCCTGAGGAGAATGCAAAATTAAAGCAAGATTGATTTCATACACACCACACAGGCAGGGATCGACTGCCTGAGTGCTACCACTGTTTGCAGTGCGCTCAACTTGGGATTGCAAACTCAATTCTGTTTTCTTTGATGCATGACTTTCCACCGATCAGATTGGGAAAGGACAAGGGAAGGTCTTTTAAATTTGACAAGTGGGTATTTTTTAAATAAAAATAAAAGCAAACGACGTCTGTAATATGGGGGTGGTTAATTTCTTTCAGATGATGCCTCCATCATACCGTTATGTTGAGTGATCTGCAAGGAAACATACGTGCACATCACCTTTAAAAGAGAAGGGATGGAAAGCTTCCTCGATCGGGTTTCAGTCTTTTTTTTTTCCAGAAGGTAAGATATAACTCCGTACATATAAAGATGAGGTTAAAATGATTTATCGGTCATTAGAAACTGAACCGCAGGTGAACACTACACATTCTGTATTGACAAAAGTTGGTTTTATGAAATAAATTTTACTCAGCAATAAGCCATAATGTAGAAAAATACATTTTACCTCCAAACTCAATAAACAAAGAACAAAAACTTCAGTAGTAGTGCATAATTATTTAGTGGTAGCTACAACAGGGGTTCCTAAACTTTTACAATAAGAGCTTGCATAAAACAGAACAGAAGAGTGAGAGAGGCGTTCACAATCTTTTTAAAAAAGAAAAGAAGGAGAAAAAGAACTGACTCCGATGGGTAACAGAGCTTAAATACTGCAAGACAGGATGAAAGGGCTACAAGAAAACAACAAAGGAAAGGAGCAACTCCAATTGAAAGATTCAAAGGGAGAGATTCCTGGCCATTACACATGATGAGAAGCATGGACAGCACTGGAGAGAGTAACACATTGTACTTTGCATCGAGTCCAGTACCAAGCTGACCGAGATCAGCTGGGTAGTGGATCTCAAGTGGGATCGTCTCATGTTACCCAGGTCTTCTGGCAGCCTGACGCCACCCACCCGTTAGGGGCACTTCCTCTCTGATCTGCGCTCTATCGCTTCCAGTAGCTAAATTTCAAACTCTTTTTTCAATGGGTCTAATTTCCGGCTTGCTTTGTTCTGTAGCTATGCCCAACCAGCAAGTAGAATAAAGAACGGGGCTAATTAGAGATCGTTGTTTTCTTTTAAAGATAGATATAGATATAGATATATATATATAGTCCTCCCCCACCCTCCAATAGTCAACAGAGATGCACAAATTTTGATAGAGCTGTTGTTTCACCGCCGGAGGATTAATCCGCTCCGATCAGTGTTTGAGGAGACACAAATACATATAAAACTGGAATCAAAGAAAGCAGAAAAATTGAAATCTCTAGCAAGGGGGGCCGTGCCCCTTCAGATAGGCTTGTGGCAAAAGAGCCTGTCTTGGGACTCACCAGGGAAAAGAATCTGCCTCAGAAATTCTCCCAAATCATTATCATCATAATCTCCTTGTAGTAGGGCATCATTGTCTATATACAGTAGCAAATGGTGAATATTAATGTCTTCGACCCTGTCGTGGATAAAAATACTCTCCTTTTTAATTTCCGTTACAAAAATAGGAGCAATATTCAAAACAATGATTGTCTTTTTTTTTCTATTTATTTTATATAAAAACATAAACAGCTCAGGCGAATTCTTGCTCTTGTGCACGCTTTATATGAAGATTTGTCCTCTAGTCTCAGCAAGTAGTATTTATATATATATATTTATATAGTATATATATAACTTAAGGATTGGTCCACAAAGTAGATCTGTGCGTTTCTCTAGTGCTTTTTGTACAAAAGAAAAACAATATTATTATCAAAATATTCATTTAATGGCTTTACTTCATACATAAATACATGTTTAAATAACACAGGAGCGGTGATTGTTCAGTCAGTTTGGAAATGACTTTTTTTTTTCTTTTTTTTTCTTTTTTTTTTTTTTTT